TATCTTTTAGATGTTTCAACTCATAAATGTTTCCATCGTTGATGTCAGCGTGTACATTGTCATGGGTTTTTCATAGATAAATCATGATCAAATAGTACTTGCTTATGAATTAAATTAAAAAAATCTCTATTATAATCTAATAATAATAAAATAATATGAATGTGCAAGTAATAAACATAAAACACATGAGAGCTTCACAAGAGAGTCTGTTTATTGTTTTAGTAAGTAACTACACATACCTATAAGTAGATAACAATCAAAGTCTATCTGTATTATATATTATGTTAGAGGACAGGACATATGTCTGTTGTGTAAATGAATTATCAGTCCATATTATAACACATATTACCAATACTTCAAGTTTACAACAAGAAATAATATCTCTGCAAATCAATATCTGACTTTCCTAACTAGATATATTAGTGTGTTGTTCAATAATTATGCCAAATTTACAAACGACGAAAAAACGTTAAAATTGAAGTCATGGTTGTCTAGTGAAAAAGTAACATATATCGATGTTTTCAGTCTTTTCTATGTGAGATTATGTTCAAGAAATCAAGTTTTAAGGATGGAAGTGTTGATTACCTCTTTGCCTATAATCACACCAACACCCTTCGAAATTTCAGACGAAAAATATATTATGTTTGCATCAATGATCGATAGTTTTGAATAAAATAAATGAACAAAAAAAATAGTTCCTTTGTTTTGTACATTTCATATTGAATAAGAGAAAAAAGAAACATTATATGAATTCTTTTACTCTCTAACATGAAGATAGTTCATAAATGATGCAATATGTTTGCATTCATCTAAGTTTTGTTTTACTTGGTTCACCATAGCTGGATCAGGATGATTAACATATTGAGTTAAATTGTTCAACGCTTTTTCATCTTTTTTTTTTAGCTTCGTCACATTTACCAGCATTCAAAAGTGCATTTCCCCAATCAATATTGGCCTGTGCCACATCAACAGCAAATTGAGGTAATAAATATTTGTCATCGTTGTTACAAACAACACGTATTTTGGAAAATTTGTTCGCCCATATTTGATTATATATAACATCTGCACAATAGACATAAATACAATAAAGTTGTGGTAAATCATGAACCAGAGGTACAACTTTTGTTCCAAGTGAACCGCACGTAATAAAAAATACTCGTTTATTAGCACACTCATTACAAATATAATTAACACATTGATATTGACTTTCACACATCTCCCACTGAAACATACCACTAATTTGGTCATAAATGTCACGTGTTTCAAACAGCAAAGGATCTAACCAAACGAATTTTAAACGATTAAATGTAGCTAAATCAATTGGTTGTTCTTTCAGTGATTTCAATGAATTCGAATCGTATGTTGCCATTTCATAGACAGGAGGTGGAATGCTTGTTATTGGTTTTCTAGGTTTGGCATCATGAGATGTGCTAATCTGATGAGAATCTGAGGGTGATGAATATGTTATTACTGTCGTTTGTGACTGTGGATGATATTCGCTAGGCTTAACATTTATAAATTTTGCCATCAGGTCAGATACCGATATTGAAGGTAGATTTGAGTTTGATTGTGAATGATGAGAAGATTGTGTATAAAACGTTAATTCTCAATTCGTGTTTTCAATCTTTTCTTGATAAAAATCAACTAAGACTATATTTTTTTCATGTTAAAAGAAGTACTACTAATGTTTTGTGAAACACAATCTAAAATAAGTGTCAAAGTACATAGAATAGAAATATGAAATCTTTATCTCCTCATAGACTATGGTAGACCTTATTAAGTAGTATACGATCATAGATAGTATATCAATAGTAGTTTCTTACAATATATTAACTATTTCCTTATTGTGCTTGCGTAGGATTAATTAAAAGAAATGTGACGGAATATGTTCTAAGATTCACGCTGTACCGTTTCGGATACATTTTGAATTGGTGACCTGTTTCTTTGAAGAAGAATAACTGGTGCTAATTCATCATATCAAGACTAAACTTATCCAATTTGCACCAGTTCTTATTTAGGAGAACTAGTCAACCAGTTCGAAATGAACTGAAACTGTTACATTCTCCTTCAAGATACGAGGAATAAAACAATCTTCGTGTAACTAGCAACCACAGTTTTTCTTTATTTTGCTTTGATTTGTTTTTTTAGTTATTGCGACTTCTATAGGAAAAAGCCAAGTGGTCGGCAGAAAAGAGCGTGAAATATTTTTTTTTGTTCCAATTCTCTCTAAATAAAGGAAAGGAAGCCATTTAATCGAATGGTTTCTTGTTTTACTTCTAACAAGAGTGAAACTGTTTATTTCTTTAAAGGACATTTTATGTATATACGTTTAATTAAATAGAACCAAAATAATTTATAAATATATCTATCTGTCAAAATATGGGACACATAACTCGTTATATAATTGCTTTTAAATTAAAGGAGAAAAATTTAGAAAGGACGTAGCTGTGACTTTTTCTTAACGGTTATAATTGGAACAAATTGGAAAAAATATTTAATTAGCTGAAATCATGTCCTATCAAAATGTATACTTGTCAACATTCTCTTAACAGGTTAAACGAAAAAGTCTGTTGGAAATAAGTTCACCTGATAGATAAAACATATTTGAACACACTAAGATATTCTTGAGTTCTCCGAGATCTATCATCAACGAAAGACACCAAGGTGCCAAGCATGACAAATTCATATAAATTTTCTTAAAAAACAATATGAAACAGCCTTAGAGATCTATCATAGGATCACTATCGTATTATGAGCATTGATCGTGGAGAGATTAAGGGCATCTTATTTTGCACATGAACATCTCTATCAGATGAGTTTGTTCCAAAAACACTTTTAATAAAATCCAGAAAACTTACTCGCAGAATATGCATTTCCCAACGATGATTAACACTATTGGATTTCTATACTGTTTGTGTCCACTTTATTTCGAACATATTAGAAAAATTTTTTGACGATACTGATACACAAAATGTTAACAAAGCCAAAAACTCATATTGAAACAATAAAATCAAACTTTTCGTTTACGAATACTCAAAATTTTCTTACACAATTTTCTGAAAAAATCATGATAAAGATAGTCAAATATCGAGTTATGTTTACCTTGGAAATCATTGCTGGAAAAAACCAGTTTTTATTATTTGTGTCATACGTTGACAAATAAACAGAACAAATTTTTCTTTTCGTATCGATGACTAATGCATACGACGAATGCAGAGCGTTTTTACTGTCCTTATTTCTTTTCTAAAATAGAGACAGAAAAAATTTATGTGAAACTACCACAATCTGACCCGTCAACACAATCTTGATGACCAGTTCATTGATTGTCTCACTAAAACCAATCAAAAATTTCGACAGAGAGCGCTTCTAGTCGGCAATAGCAATTTTTCATCACAGCACTTCATCGCTTTCCACAAGTTGTCACCATTTGTACAAACAGCCAAACCAGAAAATGGTGTGGGTGGGTGTCGATGTCGATGTGGTGGTGTGGATGTGGATGTTAGTAGGTATTGGTACTCAATTCATTTATCACGCGCACTGACAACCACACCCACAAAACACACACTCAAGACTTCCGAGTAAAAATGTAGACCCATGCGCCCACTACTTTGATTTCGAACTGTCTTCCATTCCATAAAAGCCAATTTTGTTATTTTCTCCAGAACCGCTTCCTTTACACGAAAAATACGTCTTCAAAATTTTGAAAATGTAATGGCAGATTTCTATTTCCCGACCCTGATTTCCTTTTCTCAATGCCTTATAAAAAATAACTATATTTATGTGGACATGTAACTACACACGTGACTGCAAACAAATATAGAAATACATTTTATTTCATATGACTCTCTCTTCATTCGAGTGAATCAAATTCAAAATTTTGAAAAAATGATTACAGATTCGTATTCCTGGACCCTGGATACCTTTGGTCAAACTTTAAATAGTACCTCAATATATGGAAGCACATGACCGAACACGTGCTGACAAACATACACCTACAAACACATTGTATTTCATATCAGAGATGGACAAAATCGCACCGCGCCTCACCGCGCTTCCCCGCGCCACTGCTCGCGCCTAGGCGCTACGCACATCTCTCTTTCTCTTTGCTCTACCAATCAGTTTCTCAAACTCCACCGAATACCAGGATGCTCTAAGCATGCACTCATCGAAGCTCAGACTAGTGTAGCGTAGGCGTGAGCAACGGCGCGGGGAAGCGCGGGGAGGCGCGGTGCGATTTGTCCATCTCTGTTTCATATAACCGTTCCTTTGGTCGACGGAACGAAAATAGTTCGTTGCAATCTTAAAGATTTGCAATTTCAGGATAAATTGAGTGAAATCGGTAGATAAGATTTTCAAACAGACGTTCGCATCTTATCCTCAACAATCGTGTAAGATCGTTTTGTCTTATCTTATATGTTTCATTGATGATCGAACGTATCTGATTTTATATGATCAGGTTGACGTCGTAATAGCGGTTCTTGTAAGATTTTCGCTTCAGTCGTACGATGAAGAGTTATTCAAAGTTCTCATATAATACTGTCGGTAGGATCATGATTGATCTGTTCGTATGATTCTATAAAATATCTTGTGTGGATATGATCTCATAAGATCCTTTTAGATCTTATGTCTGATTTTCTGACCTGAGATTAAGACTCGATAAGATCTATCAACAAAAGCCATTTTCAATACACATCCTGAAATAGGTTTTGAAAGAAAATTGACACATAATTCAAAAACACTTTCCAAAAGCAGAAGAACAGAAACTGACCAATGTACCATCTCCACACTTCACACAGCAATCACAAATCAAAGCATTCAAGAAACCAAAATTATTCATTAATAGATATTACCGAGCTTATCAGTAAATTCTAGAATACCAACTCACATCAAATAAATCATCTGACGAAATTCTTAAGCAAGGTCGAAGGCGTTACGGTTTTCTTGCCATACTCAAATCCTTTACGTGCTCATGATGAGTCCTTTGTTGTTTCTCTCGGCTTCTATTACATAAAAGAAAATAATTATTGTGTATCTTTTGTTAGAATAGTGTTGCAGTCAAAACAAATAAGATCAGTCACTATTAATAGATGAGACTCGCTTGCAAGACGTTTATACATTTGCATTCGTCTGTAATCTTGACGAATTCTAAATAATCACACCAGTCATGCCGAGTTGGTCTATTATTAGTAAAGACCTCGTTGTATAGATTTCTTTTCTTCTTAAAGAAAAAAATTTATTCATAACGAAAAACATACATAAAAAGCACAGTGAAGCAATTTTTATTTAAAAAATCATTATGATGCAAAACAATTGCTGGTTAATACATTGTTAATTATCAATATCATTTCTATTGTGAATGTCAAAAGTTTTATTTAAGCTTAAATCGATTTAATATATTAGTTTTTTGAATGCAAAAACAAGTATTGAAAGAATGATTCCAATTGTTATTGTTGAAGTGAGATGACCAGCCGAATTGCACAGATCATCGTTACAACAACACTGTACACCTGACGCCACAAGAGGAATATTAACTTTTGTGCATCCTGGTTTTGTGCATTGAGCAATTGGATTGTCTGTATAAGCATCACGATCAACGTTTTTCTGTCCAAGAGCTTCACCTTTTCTTTTCTTTAAGATACGAGAAGAAAGTTAAATGTTTAATTATTCAAGAATCAGATACTCACTACACATCATCCCGTAGTTGATTCAACTTTAGTGACAGTTGCACTATTATGATTAAATGGATCATAGCACGCAGTGCCAGGACTACCTTCACATTTATAGCAAGTGAGGGTCCATGTGGGAGTCAATTGCATATCTACAATAAAAGCAAATATTACAGACACTTGTATTTTTAAGTTAGACAATGCTTGCCAAGTAGAAGAACGGCAATTGTGACGAAATAGTACTGCATTGTTATTGTTTAGTTGTGTAAGTTAAATTTTGATCGTTGAATAAAAAAGAGCAAATGTCCATGAGATATGACGGTAGAAGTGCTCTTTTTATATAATAGATATCTTAGCATCTCAAAGATAAAGTTGACAAGCAATTGTGCAAGACCTTCAAAAATAAACAGAAAAATATGCAGTCAACATACTTATCTTGTATTTATTTTTCTACTCATAAATCTTTACGCGTTATTTACGTCTTTATCGCAGCTAGGTCTAAACTCTCTTTCAGTGCATTTTGAAAAATATGTTATTTAATATACTTACTATTCATTTTCATATAGCTGTAGAGAAATTCTATAGTTCTTAGTCCACTGACTGACATTACAGTTGGATGTGCGTGTAGGCGTGGGTGAATGAAATGAATGGGGTGGGTGTTGGTGTCAATATTGGTCTTCTCTTCACCCACACCCTACAAGCACTCTATCCCACCGACATTCCGCATCTATACCCTAACGCAAGTAAAATTTATGAAAGCAATGTTAGTTGGAAAAGTCATAAAGTAAAACAGAATAAATTTACTTTCTCGTGTATCGGTCAAAATATTACTTGGTAATGTGATAGTCCTAAATGAAGTTGA